TTCACTGGAATGACTGCGCTAGTTGCCGGGCCCACAAAGGTCACTTCAGTCTCTGCACAGGCTCCGTTTGCGAAAAGCGCGTTTTTCATACACAGCGAGGGATAACAACTAGGACACTAGTTTATACTCATCTGTACCAGCAATTGCGTATCGTGCATCTAATTTGTTTAAACAGCGCGTTACAAGTCGAGCGGTAAATGTTTTTAGTTCGCTCTCATCCTGTGTGTATCGTTTTCGTGCGTCATTTGTACATGAGCAGCGCGCTGCAAGTTTCAATCTGCTTGCCGTCCTCAGCATGGCATTCCAAGTTGTTGCTTTCACATTCATTGCTTCGCCCTTGCGGCAAAACTGACTTTTTTGTTTTACGTTTTACTGCCTTTATTCTACGGCTGCGTGCCCTCGGAGCTCGTAGTTCACTATCGCGCCGCCACGGCCGCAGTTTCATGCACTGTAAAAGACAGTGCATGCGCCGGTCACACGCGTGCTTATGAAGCTTCCAGTGCGCTGCTCTCGGCCTACGTTCGACAGTTTCCGTACTAAGGTTCGTATCACCCGCCGCGGTTAGGAAATGTGTTCGGAACAATCGAATTTAGGTCCAACGGACAAAGTGGAATTCTGCTGGGGAATTACGAGAATTCGGTCCACCGCAGCGCCCTTGGCATGAACAAAGTGGATTAAACATGGTTTCATTCATTCATTCACAAATTCGTATCTGCCGTGCTTTTGCATTACTGAGATTCTACTCTACGTTTAGATTAACGCCTCTTAAACTCATTTATAATAAAATGGGACAGGCTGGAAAAGACTGGAGCGGATTGAGCTGCTTTTTTGTCAATTTAGCCAGATCACGCACAGAAATTTCGATTTCCGGGAGGTTTTCATGAAAACTGTACAAACGGAAGAAACGGTCAAAATCCGGGAGTCTACCGGTCAATCCGGAAAACTTGGCAGGTATGGCATTGTGACAACTGAAAAATAGCACAAAGAGATAGGGACACAAGAAGAGGACACACGACACAGACGCTAACTTCCAATATAATGTTTATTACCACCGCACGCTCGTCTATATCACCAGAAGAACAACATCACATGAGATGTATGATGAGCACTGCGAGCTCCAGCTCCAGAGATAGCGGTTTCAAGAAGGTCAAGCAACCCTTGGGTTCGCCCCGTTGTTCCCGGCAAAGAACAGAGAGCATAGAATGTACTGTTTTTATTGAGTCTTCTTTCTAATGATTAAAACCTTTTCCTCCCGTTCGACCCGTCTCGTTCGCTCGCATATGGCGCTGTCGACGTCCGAAACCTGCTATAGCCACTTTGCCGCCAAGTAAGTCGCTGTGCCTTCGAACAAACGTTGTTGAACGCCAAACGAGCCCTAAGCCTGACCAGCCCGGTGTATCAACGACGATGTCGTTCATCAACTGGCGTGTTGCCACCGTCCAAGACCTCACCTCCGTGAGTGTACAGTTAATTCACACTGAATTGCAACGCCGCAGCCTCTCCACCACCGGCAACAAGGAGGAACTCATTGACCAACTTTTAGTTGATATCGCAAAAGATCCACCGCCAGCTCAAGAACTAGCGCCAAGTGCACCCAACATTTCAACATTGCTAGCGTGCATGCCAGCGCCTACAGTGTCATTCCCAGCTATTCCCACTTTCACGTCAGACCCAGCAAAGAACATGCAACATATGGCGGCATGTTCTCTGCTGGGTCTGACGTGAAGGTGGGCATGGCTGGAACCATCGTGTTCATCATCACGGCCATATTCTTCGCCAGAATATGGCCGTGATGATGACACGATGGTAACTCTAACGAACCAAGTGCATGTGACAATGCTGCCAGATCTATCAGCTTCGCTGCCTACCTTCAACGGAAGAGACACACCACTTTTGAAGCACTGCATAGAAGAGCTCAAGCGCATTCAATGACTTGCACGACGGGAAGACACGACTCTCCTCACCATCGCCCAAGGGAAGCTTCGTGCAGTCGCAGCATACTGGCATGCCTCAACAGTGCGCCAGCTTAACCTGAAAACCTGGACTGCCTAAAAAGCAGAACTCCAAGTAAAATGCGACGAGCAACTTTCAATAATACAGTGGCAACAGAAGGTCACAGCCCTCGCACAGAAAGCCGGAGAGAGCCTGCAGCAGTATGCTTTTGCAAAACTCAAGATCATGTCTCCCTGTCCAATGACCCAAGCTTAATCTCTATTCAGACCCAAAAGTTTTTATGATTCATTTGATTTGCATACCTGCCAACTTGGCAACAAAGAAATTCGTAAAACCCCCTTGTGGTGAAGGGGGTGGGGGTTTACAGACTTTTGTTTCATTTGTAAATGTGATGAATTTGCCTTTATCGACAAGCAGTCCCCCTCCATGTTTCGCCACCACAAGTCAAAATGATGCGCTAAATTATTTTTACTCATTTTTTTTTACACCAAAAGAAAAAAAAACAGAAAAAACAAGAGGAAGGGGGTCCCAAACGCAAGCGCAAACATCGCCATCGCGATCTCATAATGGCTTGAAGTGGCCAACCACACGAAGATAGAATTTCCCATTAAGGTGAGAGTCTCAAAGCGAGGCACAAATGCTCCCAAATTTGGCGTCATCAAGAAAAAGTAGCAAAAAAACCGATTTTCGTCAAAACAACTCGCTCGCGTATGTCTTCACACGTGAACGGACAGGACGGCGCAGCTGGCTGCTGCAAAAGTGAGGGTCAAAGTTTTGGTTTTGCTCGCTACTAGATTATTTGGACAGGAATGCCAAAACACTTTTTTACGTCTTTACAGCCTTTCATTTACAGCTGTGTCAGCCACATGCCCTTGAAGCTCATAGATCGATCCCTATCGCATTGCCGCGACTGCGATTTTGTGCGCTATCTATGATCACAACTGCCGCAGTTTTGTCCACAAAGTTTGGGAAAATCAGCGTTGCTTTGACTGGTCGAGCATTGGACGCGCGCACACTTTTGGAGTTCTGTCAGTAATGTCGTCGCCATACACAATTGTGTCAAACGACCCCTTTTTCGTCCACAGCAGAGGTGGCAACGAACACCACACGCACTGTAGAAAGACCGTGCATATGCTGGTCGCACACACACATTCGAAGCTTCCAGCACGCTGCTGCTCTTAATCGGTATTCGTTCGACAGTTTCGGTACTAAAGTTCACATCACACGTTGCAATTAGGAAAAGTGTAGTGCTCAGAACACTCTAATTTTGGCCCAATTAACACATGAATTCGGCTAGGGAATCTCACAATTTCGTATTTGCCGTGGTTTCATATCACCGAGACTCTACTGTAAATTTATATAAATGCTTCTCAAATTCGTTTATTATAGAATGCGGTGGGCTTGCAAAAAGCCTGGAATAGACTGACCTGAATTTTTGTCAATGTGGCCAGATCTCACACACAAATTTTGATTTCCGGGCAACCATACATGGCAACCATACAAACGGAATAAACGGTCAAAAGCCGGGAGTCTCCCGGACAATGCGGCAGACTTGGTAGGTATGTGATGATGATAACACCAATACATATTATTGTCTCCTGGTGACGGAATATAGAACAACGCTGTTTTTGTGGGGTCTGCGACTAGCTACAGCAATGCCCCGTAGCCAATCGCAAGGAACCACACTGTTCAACTAATTTTTTTTTATCGGAAATGAAATATTTTCCATAAAATTTCAGGCAAGATTCGTAAAATCATAAGCGCAGTCGAAACTCGTACATTTTAGGGGAAAATCGGAAGAGATGGCAGGTGTGTAATTGCATTTTTCTCGATTTTTCGGTCGCAACCAACGACACTGATGCCAATGCTAGAATTTCTGCGAAGCAAGCTTTTTAATGCTATCTGGTTAAAATTTATGCTACTGATTACTTACAAGCATAAATAAATAAGTGTAAATTTAAGAGCCAATTTCGTTTTTTGTTTTAGACGATATTAATGAGAACAAGCTGACAATGATGCCAAGGAAAGTATGAGGGATGTCATTAGATTTAATTGTAACGTATGTGTAAAGAAAGAGGTTGATTGTAACATATGTGTGAAGAAAGATAAGTGGACAAAAAAGACTTGCCCTCAGCAAGATCTTCGAATAACGCATCAGATACCGCTGAGCTATGATGGCGGTCATCCTTTGCATCCACTTTATAACATATATATTCGCACTTAAATGTGGGGGCATCAGACAGTGCCACTTCGTGCCATTACTGTTTGTGTGGAACCGTCATTTTTGCCTTATTGCGAGCTAGCAGATGACCAATAATCCCGCGCATACTACCTGAAAGCATAAATTTTGCCAGAAGGAATTGTGTGACACCAGCATAAGTTATCACACAATCTAAAAAAAGTGGCAGAACATTAGGATGCACATATATTTCTGCCCCCAAAAAAATGGCGCAGTTATGTGCGCATGCAATGAGCAAGATTAATGAAGCACCTAGCAATAGTCCTCTTATTTGCTGTGTTGACCACCGGATAAGGTATGTCCCATGCGCTTGTCCAGTGGTGTATGTATAATGGTCAAACAGGCTGTTGCATAAATATCAGGTTATAAGAACATATTATTCATCTGACATTTATTCCCACGTGGCCCTGCAAAAATTGGGAAAAAATAAGGCTTACCACTCTCTTCAGGAAAATAAGGATCACCGCACACGAGAGCTGTACATGATTAAGAAAAGTAGCTTTGTCAGCGATCCCTAAATGCTGCTTGTTACCTACCGATTGAGGAGTGCAGTATCTAGAAGCTAGATTGTGACACAGTGTTTGAAGCACTCAAGTGAGCTCGTGCTGTCTTTTTATGCTCACTGTATATTCAATAAAGTTTAGCTGTGAGTCTGCGCACATGCTGTACATTCCTGTCCCCTCGAAGTCCTTGTGCAGTTGAACCTCTACTTATAGTTTTTGATGAGAACTACACGGCCGTGTCATGGCCCCTTTAAACCTTAGCTGTCTTTTAGGCAGCTTAAGTAAGATAATGAGTACACACTCACCCCTCTGGCCAATGCACCCAGTTGTGTAAGAGTCACCTCTGATTTGGCCGTTCGACACAGCGTTGATCCTGCAACAGCAAATTGTGCCTAGTTTCAACAGAGCATCCCCAAAAAAATATAAAGCACCATAGACTTACATGAAAAGAGAGAGTGTGCTCATGACGCCACAGACGTGGAAAGCATGATTGAAATCAGCATTGGAGGGGTAGTGTGCAGCGACATCAATGATAATCCACCAGCCAATGAAGAACTTGATCCACATGGAAAATAAGAATGTGTAAGATGGACGGACAAAAACAACACAAATACAAGTCTAGCTCACTGGTGACTTTGAATAGAATGCACAGACAGACAACAACACTTGTCAAACGTGCTGACCCAGCTACATTGAGCCCTAAGGCATAAAAGATTCACAAAGAGTGCACTGAATGGATAAACGACACAATCGAGAACAAATGATGCAGCTCAGATTGCATGTTTGAGCACAGACGTTCTAAGCGTTGTCCTCTTTATCAGAAATTGTCATTTTTCAGTGTACACTAGCGTGGAGCCTCTGATAGTATGGCTGCTTACGAACAAAAAGAAAAAAGACCATGAACATGGCATTTATGATGCCACTAAACACTTTTATCATTAGGCTTGCTACCCTTTCATTGATACTTGAACGTTTCCCGCAAGGTCTTTGAGAACCAGAAATGCTACATCAGATTCTTTCTTGTCAGGGAGTCCTCTATAGCAGAGGACATGACTGTTTGCACCATAAGTGGTTGCCCGGCTCTTCTAATCTTACTAAGGGTAATCTGAACAACCGGTGTAGCTTCGATTTTCACTAGTGGCCTGTTGAGAGTCTACAAATTACTAGCATCCTCTGCTGCCTTACATGTGACTGTTGCCGTATTCTAGTGTTTGGCAGCTGTTGGAGTCTGAGGGCCAGGCTGTTCATTTAGGAGGTGTTGGCTAGATACAGCACAAGGCAGCCCAATCAGAGAGTGAGTTGTAGCCAGATACCATAGGGAGTATATTCCAGTCAGGTGCATTGCCAGTGGCCAAAGACAGAAGAGGGAGGCATTAACAATCTTTCGCACCATTGCTCAATTCGATTGTCGAAGTTCAAACAAACAAATAAAAAAAATGGCAGCATATCCACAAAGTGAATGATGGAGAGTGGGGCGAAGCATCCGTCCGTCCATTTGTTCTTGCTTCCGTCCGTCCATGCGTCCGTTTGTGTGACCGTCCGTGCGTCTGTTAGACCGTCCGTGTGTGTGTCTGTAGGTGTGTCCGCACATCCATCTGTGCGTCCGTCCCTGCGTTTGTCCGTGCATCTGCCCCTGCGTCCGTTCATGCGTCCATCCGTCAGTGCAGCCATCCGTGAGTCCGTCCATGCATCTGTCTGTGTGTCCGTTCGTTCATCTATTCAAGACTCCAAGTACCACCATCTCGCATCTTTTCATCATATATTCCGCATATGCACCGCCATCCACCGGACATTAACTAAACGAGAGGTGGCACACACCCACTTTCTTACAGCTTGCGCTTCGTGTCTACTTCCCACCTTTAACCACGGTGAGTTCATGGTATATACTAGTTCACTGTATTCATAGCAGTGGGGCCCAACGCTCGCTAAACCTTTCTAAAAACAAAGGAGGTTATGCCCAGCGAGTATAACGTAGCAACCCTTTCTTGTCAGATAGTGCTCAATGTACATGCCAATGGCTGCTAAGGGGAAATGAGAGACAAGAGAGTTCGGCTTTTAGTTAACGCGCACGTTGCGAATTTTTTATTGTTCAAAAACACACAGAAGAAATCTCTCAACGGCACCACCTTGGAGGTCAAAATCTAAGACTGGTTACATACTACGACTACTACTACGACTACGAGGGAGGACAACGGGTGCCACTATAAGGAGCTTCGCCCCTAAAAAGGTGGGGGAATTCAAAATCATTACCCTCTTAACTTCAGTCTAATTAATGTCATGTTACTTTGTTTTTAATATTTTTACAAAGGATTTCTTTGCTATATTGCATGTACTGCTATTTCTAGTGGTTCGTTTTATTGCACTAATGTATTACGTTCTTGTTCTGTTATTTACTACCGAAGTTTGTATAACTTTCCTTTCACCACTCCCCTCTGTAATGCCCTCAGGCCTTGAGGGTACAATAAAAAAAAAATAAATAAATAAATAAATAAATAAAAACGTGTTTGGATGACCTTCTATCGCTGAGTTTCATGCTACGACAATCCAGACTGCTGAAGTGAAGGGAGCACTCTCTAAGTGTCACCATATTGTGCTGGGCAGAAAGCTCAGAGGCTGCTGCCTACAGTGACGGTGCTACGAGGCTCCTTCCTTCGCAAGTCTGTCTCTGCAGTGCATTGGTGTGCGTGGGGATCACCTGAAGCGAGCATGGCCCAATTCAGAGTAGCGTATGGGTGCACAAATGCCGTGTACACGTTTCACAGGTGCATGCTGAAAGCACTCAAGTGTCTGATAACTTGCATTTTTTTAATTTTTGGAAATAACTGGCAGCTAGCTGAGATAACGAGCAAGCTGTGCGTCATGAATGCTGGAAACGGACAGATAAATATCATCTTTGCTCAGTGCACTTTAGTTCGCAAGATATTGTCTCTTATATTCTGGATGCCTCAGCCATTGCAGTTTGTGCAACCACTGAGATCACATTGCACGTGTTCGACATCTTACAACCAGAGGTCCACAATTACACAGACCGAATTGACCATCTAGAAAGCATCTCCACAGTTGTTTGCTCTGTCGTGCCTTACATTGCAGGCTTTGCCGCTCGCAAAATCGCTACTACAAGCAACTGTGAGGTGTGCGTAGAAGCTCTTCACAGAGTGAATACATCTCTATTGGTGCGACAAAAAACAGGAGGCGGACTGTTATATTGTTCCCAATATGTTGTGTCACATACAGTGCAAAACAGCGGAGAAAGAGCTGCATAAAATAAATATACCTTAACAACATATTTGCAATGCCCACGGACTATAGGTGGCACGCCGTACAATCAAAGATGGCTGCAAAAGGAGGGTCAACCTGTGAACTCGCAAAGGAAAAGATAGGACCCACGGACGTACACACCGTGCTGCTCTCACTGGATAAACTCTTGATTGTCTAAGGAATGTATATCGAACAGAAGTACTTTCCCAAATCTAAGAATGGCTAAATGTTGGCTACTTAACTTTTTGCCGCCACAGTGCGAAGGGTGGTGGTGTCAGCTGATCGATCGTGCATTAATGATGCCCTGCGTAATCCTGTGGATGCTACAGAAAACTGCATGAACTAGAATTAATACACGACCTGAACGGCATTTCAAGGTGAGTAGTACGGAACCCGTCAGACAGATTTGCCACAGCAGTAGGCCATTAGCAAGTACCACGCCATCGCGGCTGCACAGGAATGAATGTTTAACGTGGCGATGGTTTTCGAAAATAATACGCGGTCATCATTACTTGCGCTGTCAGCAACATGGAGTAGCTAGTTCAACAGTACACAGGAACTTGATTTTCCATCAAGTATCACTTGTGTCACAGCCATGCAGACTAACTGTGCGCAATTCACTGCACTTGGATGTTGCAGTTTCCATCAGCGGGATCAAAACAAGAATATCAAAATGAATAAACACCTATGCTTTTCGCAACGACGAAATTGCGAAAATGCAACGAACAACAACGCCATTCGAAAGGTACCTATGAAGTGCAGAAGTTAGCAGAGAGGCGTGGATTGTAGACGTAACTGCATGTTTCATCGCTAGAACCATTTCACTTCGCTGGTCAAGATCGAGCATGTTGGCGGCATGCGGCGCTTCATAAGATCCACTGTAATAGAACGACATGCAATGCAGAAGGAAAACTATGCCAGTCAAGTTCCAGTTTCGTTCTTATACTCTCCTTGCTGATTGCGAGACATTTGCTGCTGCTGCCAAGGAAGTTGAAGACGAGATTTTTTATCTGCTCGCACTTTAAGGAAAGGACCGCTCAGACATTAATTCGAGAAGAGACAAAAAATCTCGTCTTCGGCTTCCTTGGAAGCAGCAGCAAATGTCGCGCAACCAGCAAGGCGAGTAGAAGAACAAAAACACAACTTTACTGGCGCAGTCAAGCAGGACCTTCATGGCTGAACTGAGGAGGACAGTGAGGAGCGACATCGGTTGCGAGTGACGACAACCACCTTCAACTGACTACCGCGCTGCGGGATCAATGAAGCAAGGCTTGTCCACTAGATTCCGAGGAGGAAGAGCACACCGCAAGGCTACTTTAGGTGGGTAGCTCTTGATTTTCTTTGGGTACAGGCTATGACAAAGCGTTACAACTTCCAAAACAGTGAAAGGGACAACTCGAAAATGAACGGGGACGGGGCAAGAAACTTGCAAGCGTTGGGAGTCGCCAACAGCGGCACGTGGGGCCATAGTTGTGCGTCAGATACGGCGTTGAAACAGCAGCTAGCAATTGAAAATTGCTGAGGTGGAAACGGAGAAGCAGCGCTTGATGCGAGAGAGCCAGCAGCTTTGAGCCCATGATGGGGCAGAGTCCAACGAGGGCGGTGACAACATAACGCTTGGCGGAAAGTTACAGGAAGACAAGCGACTGAAGTTTGAAAGCTTGTTAAAGGGTGTATTGGCACCAATGCCGAACCAAAAGGCACTTGTGCCAATGTGGTTCGAGGATGTTGAGGCAACACTTGAGTCGTATGGAGTTTTGAGCAAATGATGGGCCGGTCTAGTTTTATTACAGTTGAGCGAAAGGGCACTTGGGCTGCTGTGCAGGCTGACTGCAGACGAGCGAAAAGCTTAAGTTAAGCTTAAGTAGGGCATTTTGGAGGGTCTCAGGCTTTCGGTGGCGGAGTACAAGAGGCTATTTGCAGGATCGAAAAAGGGAGAAAAGGAGTCCTGGGATCAGTTTGCCGTGCACATTGGTAATTATTTTGACTATTATGTCCAGAGTCCAAAAGTAGGCACGTTCGAGGAACTCAAGCAGCTAGTTGTCGTAGATCGCTTGAGCCCGGAAGCAAGAGCGCACGGTGTTTGTAGTGAACAGGAGGCCTTTTTGATACACAGTGGGGCGGCTAGGCTCGCAGAGTGCTTTAAAGAGAGTGAAAAGTGTAAGGCAGCACAAAAGAAGGGGAACGTCGAGGAGTGGCAAAAAAAAGCTAAAGCACTCGTAGAAACACCCGTGGACCGAAAATGGAAAAAGCGATGTTTTGAGTGCAAGGGAACTGACCACATTGCCAGGAATTGC